TGCTTCCAACTGTGTCTCTAGGAACATTCAGTGCCTTCGCTATCTTTTTGTATCCTATTACTTGTTTGTGGAGGGTGATGATGTCTTCTCTTAACTTTGTGGACCATTCTTTTGAATTAGCTTTATTTCTAACATGCAGACAAATGTGACAGTCAACAAACCCCTAAACAGTTCAGGTACGTCAAGTGTTCCAGCTCAAGCACACCTGGTGCAAATAATGAAGCCCTTGATTATTTGCATCAGGTGTGCTTGAGACAACACCTGTTTTGCTTATTTGTGTTGTTGTGAGGGATTCTATTCAAGGGGTTGAATAATTTTGAGACTGGAGGGGCCATTGTAAGTTGCATTTTCAGTTGAATTCAGGGAAACCACTTGAAGCATTCATTGGATGCTTTCCTATGGGGAGGTGTAAAGCGTGCGCAGCAGAGGGGAGCGAAGGCCCAGCGCCGAGGGACATTGGCACTGGGATAAGGTAAGTAAATAAAGGGAAATTCCAAGTGAATTTTAAATTTAAAGGGACACTATAGTTATTGGAACAAATACAGCTTAATATCGATATTCTGGTGTCTACAGTCTGTCCCTGCAGGCTTTTTTTCTTCTTAATATTCTTTATTTTGATGTGCATAGCATTGTCAGAAAAACGGCACATACATTGGTAATTCAGCATTGATAAGTAATATCTGGTAGTCAATGTAGATACAGAAAACTGCACATTAAAGGGTAAAACAAAACATTGCTAAACTTGAGAACTGAATACAAGTAGCTAAGAAGAGTATAGGCACTGTGAAGGCGTGTCAAAGATTGATTAACAGAAGTCAAATAGCTTTGGTTACATGCTGAGATCTTTATTACCTGGGGGGCTCTAAAGTAAGTGCTAAGAAATGCCCAGAACTTAAGTAATGGGAATGCACAGTATTAAACTAAGATCGGCTCAGAAACAAAAACAATAATAAACATAAATATTGCTTAGCATGTAAGCCTTCGTAGTGAGTGACTGAAAGTCTGCGTGAGTCAGCCGATGCCCTCCAGTGTAATTGCAAAGTCCTGCTTCAATTTTACTGCCAGTATTGTCAGATGCGTCATCCAGATGGTGTGGTGGAAAGGGCTTAATGAGGGCAGCGATTTCCCCAGCAGTGTACTGGCCTTCTGGGTAGATGCATGGTGAGGGCTCCTAGGTGTGCCATGCACCACAACAGCACCACTGGGGTGTTCCCGATGCCTTCCTCCCACTTAGGCGTGCTTCAGGACTGGAGCTGCGGCTGTTCGTTGAGATCCTGCTGGTAAGACATTGGGTAGATGGTCTTTCTGCTCACCACTAGAAGGCAGGCTGAGGTGTTGGATTAGTTTGTCCAAAAGGACTGCATAGCCCATGGTGCTTGAGAAGGTAAAGTCAGCTTGAGGTTTATCGGCAGGGCCCCCCCAAGGTGAGGACCGGAATCACCCCCACTGGTCCAAAGGGGGAGAGGGAGGGGAAGGGCCAGCAACTCGTGGAGCTGAGGATCTATGCCGCAGTAATTGGGCAGGATAGTAGAGTGGCGGCCGTCCACTCCACTCACCACCGGAGTAGGCCTCAGCCATGGGGACAGAGGATCTCCCACCCAGAGACCGAGAGGTAATATACAGGCTCAGCCTCGAAACCAGCACTGCTCCTCTGTTTAGACCATGGTTTCCAGGCATCTTATAGGTAAGTTATTTGATTTGGTGAACTTAAAAGTAGAAAAGTTGCTGGAGCTGCTTGTTCATGCATCCACACAGCATGGCTGCCCTCCTCCACCCCGCAGACTATTTTATTGTAAACACTACCTTTTTAAAGAAATGGCAGTGTTTATATTACTGCCTAGTAATACTTCTACTGGCAGTCATTCAGATGGCCACTAGCAGTGCTTTATGAGCCAGTGCTGCACAGTGTGCAATACTGACGTTCAGCGTGTCCACACTCTGCAAGGAGACACTGAATGCTCCCCTATGGGAAATATGGAAAAGCATTGGATTGCCTAAAATTGTCAAATTTGATGATCTTAGCCAAGGAGTGGACTGGCACAGCGCTGAAAAAATGGTAAGTGAACTACCTTTTTAAAGTAAGGAGAAGGGGGCTGGGGACCTAAACTGTGCTTTTAAAATTATAGTTTCAGGATTATATTGTTATATTCCTAACACTATAGTGTTCATTTAAAGCCATAAGAGCCACACGGGAATGATTCTCTAAGTCAGCGCTTTGCTTTCCAGTCAGCTACAGACATTTCCATTCAGTCTAATTTGAAATTCACTTTGAAGTCTCACTTTAGTAAATAACCCTGTAATACTGCAGGCTATTAACCTTTTCATGTCCCCAGCCTCCCCACAGTCACAGCTTGACTGGTAAGAATGAAAGATACTAATAGGTCTACAAAACAGACTCAGTCAGTTCAATTCCCCTTCATCTTAATTTAAATTATGTATTCTTATTCTATTTCTTCAGGAAATGCTCTTATATGTCAGTACTTTTGATAGAATGAAAAGTAGAAAGTTAAGGGACATAATCTTGGAAAAAACATTTGCTTTTTAAATATATGCCATTATAATACTCATGGGGTGGGGCTGCCTTTTGGCATTTACTCGTAGCTATGTGTAAGTAAAAGACTTGTTTTTACATGAATTGATAGATGAGACACTAAATGAGGCCCTCTAGTATTAAATTCATATGTAAACTAAGCTCTGTTGCTGAGACAAAAGTGATAAAACTTTATTGGCTAACCAGTGCAGACAGTCGCTGTGACAGTTCCAGCTGATTGGCTGCAGGCCACATGAAGCATTACGTGCCCACATCCTGGCATAAGATGTCATATGGCTGGCAGTGTAAAGAGGGAAAATTCTGCAATTTGACGGACAACAATGTTATTAAAAGCAACAAACAAACAAAAAAAAATTACCAGATTTTACTAATTACATGACGTAAAGTCATGATTTTATAAAGGACACGGAGGCGAGTATTAGGCTTATCTCTTTCTTTTATTCCTCAGCAGCAAAGAAAGCTAAGGTGTTTATTTGTAGAAAAAAAACATACATAAATACCCTCACAGGGTTAACCTTACATCATTATCTCTTAACCAATAGGAACAGTCCATCTCTGATATCCTCTCATGTAACCTCCTCCTCTTCCTCTTTCTTGATGATGCCGAAGCGAACAAATCACCATTAGTATGTAACAAAATTCGTTATAACCAAAACACACAAACGGTTGACAACTGGATACTTGACGTTGAAGTTGAATCCGTCCACAAATAACGCGGGATCTTCCGAAACTGATCCTCTCACAACTGCGAGATTATTTCTCGTCATCAGTGGGTATCTTTTAGCTGTGTTTCAGGCTGGAAAGACAAAGAAAACAAATGGTAAAACGTGTCCTTGCCAACTATTTTCATCTTACTATGGTATTAAAAGGTGAGCTGTTTATGTAATCAATCATATATTAAACATGCAATCATTCCTTGTTTGATAGATTTACCATAGCGTAACACATATACCTTATATCAATGATAACTCATTTAACGAAAAAAAAAGTCCCTATTACGTACCTGGGTTGGGATACAAATGTTTTGTTGTATCTGCCCTGGGTGGGCTAATACTCGCCTCCGTGTCCTTTATAAAATCATGACTTTACGTCATGTAATTAGTAAAATCTGGTAATTTTATTAAAGGACACGGAGGCTCTTATTAGGCTAGTTTAAAGCTGTGCAATAACTAAACTTGACACATGTTCTGTAGGTCGAAAGTAGTATTCCTTAAATGTCGATGCCCTAGACCAGTCTGTTTTCATGATATCTTCCAATTTACAACCAAAATTAAAAGCCTTTGAAGCCATGGCCCCCCTGGTAGAGTGTGCACCATATACAGTTGTATCTATGTGGGCTAAGGCCATTATCCATCTCACCCATCTGGCGAGAGTTACCGTGGATACGGGATGGTGGGGTTGTTTGATAGCTAAAAACAATTCCGGGTGCCTCGGGTTTCTGAATTCCAGGGTCCTTGTCTCGTATTCCTTCAAGCAAACCACCGGGCAGAGTTTACGGTTATGCGGGAATGCTGGATACGAAACTGAGGTAATTGTACGTCTGGAGATGTTGAATGAAACCCCCGTGGGAGTAAAGGATCTTGCATCAACGTCCAACGCCCTGACGTCTGACACTCTCTTACAAGAGATCAAGCAGAGGAGCATGACTAGTTTTGCTGACAGTTGTTTCAGTGTGAGTGTCTCATTGTGTGGCCAAGTTTCTAACAGTTGTAAAACTGAGTTGACGTCCCATAGAGACGTTTATCGGGGTTGCGGTGGACGAGCAAACCGAATACCTCGAAGGAGACGGCATACCAATTGTTGTTGGCCCACTGGGGTCCCATCTATTCCCCGGTGTCCCGCTGAGATTGCAGACCTGTACACGTTGATGGTGCGATAGGCCAAACCTTGATTGTATAGGTTGGTAAAGAAACGCAACATGTAATTTATAGGAGCACATATGGGATCCACCTGCTGTTCCATGCACCAACTACTCCATCCGTTCCAGGCATAGAGGTAGGAGCGTCTTGTTCCAGGCGCCCAAGCTCCTGCCAGTAGATCGATAGTTTCCTGTGGAACCTCTGGGACGCTCCATGGTCCCCTGAAAGCAACCATGCTAAAAGTTTGAGTTGCCCCTGTACCAACAGGGGGTGTGGTTTGCCCTCTGGATCTGCTAAAAGGTATGAGACGTCTGGTAAGTGTCTCGGCAGGTCTATAGACATCTCCATGAGTGTGGGGAACCACGGCTGAGCTGTCCAAAACGGGGTTATGAGGACCAATGACGTTTGAGTCCGCCTGAGGTGCACCAGTGTTCGAGCTATGAGGGAGAACGGAGGAAATGCATACAATCTGTTGTGTGGCCAGTGTTGGAGAAAAGCGTCCGCTGCCAGGGCGTCTGGATCCGGCCTCCAGCTGAAGAATGTTGGCAATTGGGAGTTCAAACGAGACGCAAAGAGATCGATTTGCATCGGGCCCCAGAGCGTCTGAAGTCGTAAGAACACACTGCGGTCTAGCCGCCAGTCGCTGGTGTCTCACAGATGTCTGGAGTACCAGTCCGCCACTATGTTGGACATGCCCGGGATGTACTCCGCTTGTACCGAAATATTGCGTGCCAGGCAATGTTGCCAAAAGTCTTTGGCCAAGTCCGCCAGGATCCTTGACTTTGTGCCACCGAGGTGGTTGATGTATCGGACTGCAGATATGTTGTCCATTCGCAGGACAATGGAGCAGTTGGTTGCGGCTCCGAGGAGACTTCTCAGGGCGAATGACCCCGCCATGAGTTCCAGGCCGTTGATGTGTAACTCTTTCTCTGAGCGTGACCAGATGCCTCCGGTGGAGGTAGGCCCGCAGCGCGCTCCCCAACCGTGTGTGCTCGCGTCGGACTCTATGGTGAAGTCCGGGGCAGTTCCGAAGATAGCCCTGCCGTTCCATGCTTCCATATGATGCAGCCACCAGGTGAGTTCCTGCTTGGCCTCGTGGTCGAGTGGGACGGAGTCGGAGTATGAGTGCCCCGAGCGTAGATGTGAGGCTTTTAGCCTTTGCAGAGCCCTGTAATGTAGAGGCCCCGGGAAGATTGCCTGGATGGAGGCTGATAGGAGTCCAAGTACCCTGGCTAGTTGTCGCAGAGTTAACACTGGTCTTGTCAGTGTTCTGCGGATCTCCTTTTTTATGCTCTTGACTTTGTCTGTTGGCAAACTGAGCGTCCCGGTCGTTGCGTCTATGTGGAATCCCAGGAATTCCATGTGTTGAGATGGGGTAAGTACCGATTTTTTCCAATTGATGAGGAATCCCAAATTTCTTAACAGGGTCAATGCCCAGGATAGATGCTGTCGGAGTTGGCAGGCCTCGTGCGCCATGAGCAGCATATCGTCCAGATATATGATCATTCGTATGCCTCTGCTGCGCAATAACGCGACCACTGGTTTTAGGAGCTTGGTGAAGCACCAAGGGGCCGATGAGAGTCCGAAGGGCAGGCATTGGAATCTCCATGTCGCTCCTTGCCATTGGAATTGGAGTAGGTGGCGACATTCTTCCGCTATAGGGATCGTGAGGTAGGCGTCTTGCAGGTCTAGTTTGACCATCCAGTCCCCCACTCTGAGCAGGTCTCGTAAGCAGTGGATACCTTCCATTTTGAAATGGCGGTATCGGACAAATGCGTTTAGGGGCCGCAAGTTGATGACTGGGCGGACTCCGCCTCCTTTCTTGGGTACCAGAAATAGATTGCTCATGAACCCCGGGAAGGGTGAGGGAACCTGAAATATTGCGCCTTTTTCTCGGAGTGAGAGGATCTCTTTGGTCACCAGGTCCCTGTCGTGTGAGGAGAATGTTATTCGGTGTGGCCAGGTAGTTTGGACAGGGGGTTGTACGAACT